ATCTAAATTATACAAGCGTTGACTCAATATATGTATAAATTAGAGACTACAAGTATATACTCAAGATGTGTATAATCTATGGTCTACAAGTAGAGTCAATAATTATGTATGCTATACACGTATGGATCAGACGTCCGTGTCTGTGGCTTAGACGCTGCGAACATGTTTTGTAATTCTGAGCTGCTGGGTCCGATTCCAGCTGCTGATGACAATTTTGCAGCAGACCGCCTTGCATTGGTTTTGACAGCGGTATCGAGAGCTCAGCAAGCAATGGCAAATTAATGACCGTAAAATTTCCTAGTGAAATCAAAAACAGCCAAAATTTGTCTGGGATTGGTTCTGCTAAGTCTTGTGAAGGATATGCAACTATTTAATAGATCAGACTCGGTACAAATTTGTATTCTATATATGCATAAATTAGGTTAAACTAGTACATGCTCATTAGGGTAAACAACTTTGCACTCAATACATGTACAAATTACAGTTTTAAAGTATACTGTCAAGTTATGTACAATTTAGTCCACGCCCATATATTCAAGATATCTATAAATTAGAGTCTACAATTATATACTCGAGATATGTAGAAGTTAAGAACAAAACAAAACAACAAGTAAAGGTCTCTTTTCCCACCTTTAGGTGTATAGGGCATATAGGGCTAAACCTACATTTTTTTAGACTAATCGGCACAAGATGGGTGATGTGGTCAGCATTACGCCGAAAACTTGCATATGGACAGAGATGCTGCAAGGACACGCCTAATTGGTTCATTTTGTGGTTTTTTTTGTCAACTGTCAACTTGAGCACACTTTGTTAAATTTCAATCAACCCTGCATTAGGTTGTATGCTGAGCCATGTGAGCACCCTATTGCAGCTGTTCCAGCGCCCTTGAGAAAATGTTTTTACCTAGTTATGCACCGCTTCACAGGATAAATGCTTATCAGCATAAACAGGAATCATTTCCTTGTAAATATCCTTTGCAGGCAGACCTTTTGTTCCCCCCCCCCCCCCCAAAAAAAAACATACACACACACAACAGCATGCTGTTCCTTCAAGGTACACTCCGTTAAGTACAGTAGCGATTTTGTTTCTGTGTTGCCAATGCGCATTCAACAATTAGCGCCACCTCGGAGACATACAGTTCGATGTTACTGACACCTTTAGAGACCACCAACTACATTTTCCTGATATCAATCTGTGACTTATTTATTAAATTCCCCTCATTTAAAACTTAGAGTAACAGTGTCTACAAACACATGCAGTTATGTACTAGTCCACAAATATATACTCAGTATATCTATATTTTTGTCGGCTCTGTGGCTAAGTCGATGCGAACGCTTCATAATGCCGGGATTGATCCCAGCTGCAGGCCATGCGGCTTTCCTTTTATTTCGACAGTGGTATCAAGAAAGCAATGGCAAACTACTGGACGTAAATTTGCCTAGAAAAACCACACAACAGCCAGGGGCTGTTGGGGTTTGTTCTGCAACGTCCTGTACAGGATACACAACTAACCTTATTTCTATATTTATATAATGTTGTATAAGGATATTCTCAAGATATGTATAAATTAGATTCTATATAAGTATAATCACTAAGATATATAGAGGTTAGAGTAGCAGTCTACAAATTCTCAAGATACATGTAAAGCTAAGGCAGTTGTAAATGATTAGTTCAGATAGCACTACAAGTGCAAGGAATAATTAGCTGCAAGCAAGCAAGCAAGCAACATGTGACATCCACAGAAAGACCTACATCGCTGGGCACAGAGACAACAAAGGTGTCACGAAGAGCTGGGCTCACTGCCTGCTGTAACCTACTTCTGACTACAAATCAAGATGAGGTTCTGCACTGCTGTCACCGTGGAGTGAATGTTCTGTCCAGTTATGAGGTTTCTGTCTACCACAACATGCACTTCATCAGGCTCAGAGGCTGGAAAACAAATTAAAACTTGTACATAGCATGGACTTTAGGCTTCACAACGCAAGAGTCACCTAAATGCCATATTGGTGATATTCATTAAGTTATTCTGAATTGAGTGCATGGCGTGACACTGTGAGCTATGTGTGTTTTTTGTTGGCACAGGAGCGGAGCAGCTATGGGGTTACCCGTTTGCTATGAAGCTGAAACTAGGATTACCAGATTACCAGATTCATTAGTCAGTGGTTTTCAACCTTCCTAATGTCACGACCCTTTAATACAGTTTCTCACACTGTAGTGACCCTCAGCCATAACATTATTTTCATTGCTACTTCATAACTTCAGTGAATATGTGTATTCCAATGGTCTTAGGCGACCCCTGTGAAAGTGGTCATTTGACCCACAGTTTGAGAACCAGTGACCTAAGTGCATTTTTCAGACTGTTATTTGTCACTTAACAATATCTCAAAGGCACACACCATGTAAACTGTTATTCCAATTAAATGGAAATGAAGCATTAATTAATGCATCTGCACAATTTTTATTTGCCACTTCAGAGAGACACATGATGTTTCTTGAAGCAAGGATTCAGCACTCCCGTGACTGTAGCATAGTGTCGACAACGTCTTGAATCATTTATTATTTTATCCCTGAGTGGATTCTGAAGCCCCACTGTGAGGGGGGGGGGGGGGGAGGAAACAGACCCATTGCCTAAGCATGTCATAAAAGATGACTAATGAAGAGTTTTCTGAAATCACATGCGTTGAGCTGAAAGGTGCAGATTCCACAGTCGGGCTGTAAACTACAACTCAATATGCTAACAGCCATTTTAATTTGTGAATGCAGAAGAAACAGAAAAATGTATCATGTAACTGGTCTCATCGTTAGATCACAGATTCAATGAACCAAGCTGGTGTTGCTTCCACAATGAAGGTTGGTAGCATTTGATCCCCAACACTCTGTCTCTTCTTGGTAGTATACTCTCTCAGACTGCGGTTCGCTATCTCTAGATGTTGTCCTTCCACTTGTATCATTGTCTACCTTTTGCTTTTTTGCCTTCGACTTTCCCCTCCACTGTGGTTTTTAAAAGAGTGTTATGTGGCTGAAATATTTCAATTGTCTCTTCTTTTAAATCTCTTTCGCAAGTCTCTTTTCATCTAGTCTCCACAGAACCTCTGTTATCTGATTGTTTTTGTTCCCGTGACATGCAAACTATTCTTCTGTATATCCATAATTCCAGAAATAAATTCCCAGATTACTGTTGTGTTAAAGACCTTCATGTGCCTCTGCTCTGTAGGGGACGAGGGCTCATGTACTCCAGTGACCCCCAAGAGCTATGCTAAAGGTCACTTGCCTACTTACGTATAGATTCGTCTATGTCAGAAGTTAAAAGGATGGGAGCCAGATGAAGAGAAAGAGAGAGAGAGAGAGAGAGAGAGAGAGAGAGAGAGAGAGAGAGAGAGAGAGAGAGAGAGAGAGAGAGAGAGAGAGAGACTTGCTGGAATAATAAACAAACTGTAATGTACTCTTCTTCTTTTCTAGATCGCATATTGAAATTTAAACCTTTTCCCGAAACTATATGAAGGCACTAATAAATAAACATGAACAGGGTGAAGAAACAAATGGAATACATTTCCCGGGCCTAAAAAACACATGAATCAGGTTACTCATGCCGTGAACTCCATAACTTTTATCACTGAGGTTTATGGAAAAATATGAAGTCAAATCAGCTTTAGAAAAACTAATTGATTCATAGTCGGAATATATGCTATTTTTAGTTAGTTAATGTAGTCATATCCTGACCTCCTAATTGTGACAGACTATTTATGACCTGACCTGGTCAGTGACAGACTATTTACTTGACCTGGTGAGGTCGTAATTCTATCATACTCCTAAAGTTTTCATTTGAAGCCCCCTCTTAATTATGCATAGGAAGAGAAGAAAAAACAATATTCTACATACCTGTGTATTTCCCACCATAATCTTTGATAAAATCTTCCAGGACAAGAGGCATTGATGGGAATTCTGGAAGGTATCCAACTTCAAACAGTGATGGCTAAATGAGAAGTTTACAGAACCCAAGTTAGATTGTTACGGAAAACACAACCATAGAATGCTCCTAGTTACTTCATCTGTCTAAAAATCAAGCTAATTATTCTAATGTCACACATAAAGGCAAAAGAACGTATAATTAAAATTTAACTGACATAATTATTATTAGAACTCCGCCCTGGTTGCTGAAAATGGGGATGAAGCATTTAAGGTAATACCCAGATAAAGGTACTCTTAACATCACACAGAAAAGGGAATACCCAGATGAAGGTACTCTTAACATCACACAGAAAAGGGAATACCCAGATGAAGGTACTCTTAACTTCACACAGAAAAGGGAATACCCAGATGAAGGTACTCTTAACTTCACACAGAAAAGGGAATACCCAGATGAAGGTACTCTTAACTTCACACAGAAAAGGGAATACCCAGATGAAGGTACTCTTAACTTCACACAGAAAAGGGAATACCCAGATGAAGGTACTCTTAACTTCACACAGAAAAGGGAATACCCAGATGAAGGTACTCTTAACTTCACACAGAAAAGGGAATACCCAGATGAAGGTACTCTTAACTTCACACAGAAAAGGGAATACTCAGATGAAGGTACTCTTAACTTCACACAGAAAAGGGAATACCCAGATGAAGGTACTCTTAACTTCACACAGAAAAGGGAATACCCAGATGAAGGTACTCTTAACTTCACACAGAAAAGGGAATACCCAGATGAAGGTACTCTTAACTTCACACAGAAAAGGGAATACCCAGATGAAGGTACTCTTAACTTCACACAGAAAAGGGAATACCCAGATGAAGGTACTCTTAACTTCACACAGAAAAGGGAATACCCAGATGAAGGTACTCTTAAACTTCACACAGAAAAGGGAATACCCAGATGAAGGTACTCTTAACTTCACACAGAAAAGGGAATACCCAGATGAAGGTACTCTTAACTTCACACAGAAAAGGGAATACCCAGATGAAGGTACTCTTAACTTCACACAGAAAAGGGAATACCCAGATGACGGTACTCTTAACTTCACACAGAAAAGGGAGTACCCAGATTAAGGTACTCTTAACATCACACAAAAAAAAAGCAATCTGAAATCAGACAAATTTAAAAAAAGTTTCCTAAAATTATTACTTAGTTTCCAGTAATTCCTCTTTTTACTTAAATTTACTATTATTCTATTTTTAGTAGAACATTTTACCCCACTAGGACATCTCACAAGCAATAAACACATGATGACACAAAGTGCCACCATGTGGATGAGGATCACCCGCGGAGAGGTCCCGGAAACCGCGTTCAGCCACCAGACCATATTTATGGCCCGGCTATATTGCGGCCTCTGGCAAGAGCCAGGGTGGGGCTTCAAAATAATGAACAATTGCATCTCACAAGGAGATGACTACTATGTATTAAATAATCTAGTTTGTTCATGTTGTGTAGATGTAATATTTCACTTGTCAGTTAAGTTGTGTAGGCAATTTTGTTTCTGTTCACTGTTTCTCAATTACAGCTTGAATTGATTCAGATTTTCAGTTTCCATTAATTTTTCCAGCTTTATAGTCACATATCATATTAATCTGGTTATGTGTTTAGCTCAACAGCAGTTTTAATTTGCTAACAATCATTCACAATAATACTTAGCTCACTAGCAATCATTTTCATTCATTCTCAGCCCACTATCACTTGCTCTTAGCATAAGAGCCCTCTGTCTTAGCTTGCTAGCATTCATGAAATTATCAAGCTGTGAGAGAAGACAAGACATCTACAACAGAACTGCAAAAAAAAAAACAAAATTAAAAAAAAAAACCAATGTGGGTAAAAAAAAGTGATTCAATTTGCTTTCTGTCTAATGTGAGTGTCAGGTCTTGGGCAGATATAACTGAGCTACCAGACAACAGTAGCCAGTAACCCCTGTCTTCTGTTAACGTCGAATGTTGGACGGTGTATACCAAACCTGACAACCTATACTGTGCCAATGGTTTCGGGTGGAGGAGCACATTGGGGAGCATACTAGCCTTATCCTAGGAAGATAAAATGCAACCAGAACACCTTATGTTATGGTGTTAGGCAGAAACCATCAACACAACTCACAGCTGTCAGATAGAAACCCTCAACACAACTCACAGCTGTCAGAGAGAAACCCTCAACACAACTCACAGCTGTCAGACAGAAACCCTCAACACAACTCACAGCTGTCAGACAGAAACCCTCAACACAACTCACAGCTGTCAGACAGAAACCCTCAACACAACTCACAGCTGTCAGACAGAAACCCTCAACACAACTCACAGCTGTCAGACAGAAACCCTCAACACAACTCACAGCTGTCAGACAGAAACCCTCAACACAACTCACAGCTGTCAGACAGAAACCCTCAACACAACTTACAGCTGTCAGACAGAAACCCTCAACACAACTCACAGCTGTCAGATAGAAACCCTCAACACAACTCACAGCTGTCAGAGAGAAACCCTCAACACAACTCACAGCTGTCAGAGAGAAACCCTCAACACAACTCACAGCTGTCAGACAGAAACCCTCAACACAACTCACAGCTGTTAGATAGAAACCCTCAACACAACTCACAGCTGTCATATAGAAACCCTCAACACAACTCACAGCTGTCAGCCAGAAACCCTCAACACAACTCACAGCTGTCAGACAGAAACCCTCAACACAACTCACAGCTGTCAGAGAGAAACCCTCAACACAACTCACAGCTGTCAGAGAGAAACCCTCAACACAACTCACAGCTGTCAGAGAGAAACTCTCAACACAACTCACAGCTGTCAGACAGAAACTCTCAACACAACTCACAGCTGTCAGAGAGAAACTCTCAACACAACTCACAGCTGTCAGAGAGAAACTCTCAACACAACTCACAGCTGTCAGAGAGAAACCCTCAACACAACTCACAGCTGTCAGACAGAAACCCTCAACACAACTCACAGCTGTCAGACAGAAACCCTCAACACAACTCACAGCTGTCAGACAGAAACCCTCAACACAACTCACAGCTGTCAGACAGAAACCCTCAACACAACTCACAGCTGTCAGAAACCCTCAACACAACTCACAGCTGTCAGATAGAAACCCTCAACACAACTCACAGATGTCAGACAGAAACCTTTAACACAACTCACAGCATTCAGACAGAAACCCTCAACACAACTCACAGATGTCAGACAGAAACCTTTAACACAACTCACAGCTGTCAGACAGAAACCCTCAACACAACTCACAGCTGTCAGATAGAAACCCTCAACACAACTCACAGCTGTCAGATAGAAACCCTCAACACAACTCACAGCTGTCAGAAACCCTCAACACAACTCACAGCTGTCAGAGAGAAACCCTCAACACAACTTACAGCTGTCAGACAGAAACCCTCAACACAACTTACAGCTGTCAGACAGAAACCCTCAACACAACTCACAGCTGTCAGACAGAAACCCTCACAACAGAAACTCACAGCTGTCAGACAGAAACCCTCAACACAACTCACAGCTGTCAACAACACAACACAACTCACAGCTGTCAGACAGAAACCCTCAACACAACTCACAGCTGTCAGACAGAAACCCTCAACACAACTCACAGCTGTCAGACAGAAACCCTCAACACAACTCACAGCTGTCAGACAGAAACCCTCAACACAACTCACAGCTGTCAGAAACCCTCAACACAACTCACAGCTGTCAGAAACCCTCAACACAACTCACAGCTGTCAGACAGAAACCCTCAACACAACTCACAGCTGTCAGACAGAAACCCTCAACACAACTCACAGCTGTCAGACAGAAACCCTCAACACAACTCACAGCTGTCAGACAGAAACCCTCAACACAACTCACAGCTGTCAGACAGAAACCCTCAGAAAACACAACTCACAGCTGTCAGACAGAAACCCTCAACACAACTCACAGCTGTCAGACAGAAACCCTCAACACAACTCACAGCTGTCAGACAGAAACCCTCAACACAGAAAACTCACAGCTGTCAGACAGAAACCCTCAACACAACTCACAGCTGTCAGACAGAGAAACCCTCAACACAACTCACAGCTGTCAGACAGAAACCCTCAACACAACTCACAGCTGTCAGACAGAAACCCTCAACACAACTCACAGCTGTCAGACAGAACTCCTCAACACAACTCACAGCTGTCAGACAGAAACCCTCAACACAACTCACAGCTGTCAGACAGAAACCCTCAACACAACTCACAGCTGCTGTCAACACAAGACAGAAACCCTCAACACAACTCACAGCTGTCAGACAGAAACCCTCAACACAACTCACAGCTGTCAGACAGAAACCCTCAACACAACTCACAGCTGTCAGACAGAAACCCTCAACACAACTCACAGCTGTCAGACAGAAACCCTCAACACAACTCACAGCTGTCAGACAGAAACCCTCAACACAACTCACAGCTGTTAGATAGAAACCCTCAACACAACTCACAGCTGTTAGATAGAAACCCTCATCACAACTTACAGCTGTCAGACAGAAACCCTCAACACAACTTACAGCTGTCAGACAGAAATCCTCCAGCAACCATGACTTCCCATCTTCTTTCCTCGCAGAGCACAGACCTGCAACACCCAGTCCCACCGCACAAATGGGCTCTGAAAGAAAACAAAAAAACATTCAACAGTTTACAACCCCACATCTGCATACATTCTTATCTGTACATATAATGACAGTAGTTTCTTTAAAAAAAAAAAAGCATTTAAAAGTGAGAAGATTGACTTCGCTGCATCAGCTCTGACCCCATATGGATGAGTCTTGATCGCTGCAGAAAAGATAGTTACCTGCCAAGAGCATAACACAAAGCACAAACCCTGTAGCTTCATTGATGACCCCTAGGATCTCTGAAACATCTGCACGCATAAACCGAATGACAGTATCTGATAACAAACACAGAACTTTCAGTAACTTTCCGAACAAGATAGAAACAGCTTTGTCATGGAGACCATACACCACTGGTGTAATTAAAATAAATTTCTTATTCTTCTTCTTTACTTCCTCTTTTACCGCTTTGAGTGCCGAGGGGGATATACAAGTTCTGCTTCTTGCTTTTCTGGCTATCTCAACCATAGACACATGATGCTCCTGTAGAATTTCTCTGACATTATATCTCCATTTTGTTGTTGGTCTACCTTTAGGTTTTTTCCTCTTGTGGTGCATGCCTTATTTGGTATGGCGTCCTAAGGAATTCATTCTAAGTGGTTCAATCATTTGATTTGTTGTTTTTGTATGTCATTTAGAATTGGTTCTGTGCATTTTCTAATTAGGACCTCACTGAATTAAAATCGCAGACATAAAAAAAAAAAAGAGCACTACCAGCTTGATTTGGAGAGTGATATCTATTGTGCCTTGTCCAAAATCTGACCACAAATAGCATCAGCAAGACTACAGAGCGTCAGCCATCACAAGTTCCTTTTCCACTAGGGGCTTGGACCAGTCTACCGATGCCTATCCCACATGTAGTTCCGTTGTGTGCACAACCAGCTCAAAGCTTCTCTGCAGCTTTGCCCAGTTGTTTTAGTGCCTATTTATACTTGTTTCCTCAAAAGCCTAGCTGCTTCAGTAGACTGTATGTGGAATTGTACTTCTCGAGCTTGTACAGGTGTTGGTTTTCAATTTGCGACTCGTACAGCACGCTCAGCTCTATCAGGACAAGCTGACGGTCTGCTGCCGAGTGCAATACCATGTCCGGCTTCAGGCCAGTCTTTTGGTTTAGTTTCAGAACCAGACAGGACAACCACCAGTAACCAGTCCCACGCACAGTCAAGATGAATGAAGCATTTGCAAGGTTTTTTGAATGAACCTTTAAAAATCTGCCCAGCCTTGAGGTAGCACATAGAGATGAGGGCGTTAGGACTGGCCTTCGCATTGGCCCAGAACCTTGGTTTTTCCACAATGTTGGCCAGCTTTTTCAAGCCCCTATTGTGGCGCCATGTGTACCACCCCTGACCTAAGGCTTTCCTACATGTGGACAATATGTGCTCGAGCATCTGCTCTCCTCTGCATAAGGGACATGTTGGGTCAATGGTCGCACACTATTTGACCTGGTTAGAAAGTGGGGCTAACACATCTTATGCAGATCTAATGACAAACTTAGTCGCCAAGTAAGTTCTCATGGCATGGCACTCTCAATGGTGAGCCACTGGCCTTGCTGTGACTGCTGGACTACTTTCTGGACCCGCATCTCATTCTTAGTGTTCCTGATCTGTTATATGTCTCTAAGCTCTTTGGCCAAGGCCTTAGACCACCATGTAACATTAACCTACCTTAAGCCGCGTCGGTCAGTTTTAGTGTAGCCTATGACTTCCTTTAATTTGAGTGCATTATGGGCAGATTCTATTGCATCATTCACCTTCCAGTTGATACATGTTTTAGTCATTCTCCAAATTTCTGCTCAAGACAGCAATATAGCTGGTTGGCTTTTGTGGCTAAAGTGTTTTTAACAGCATAAAATAACCCAGCAAACCTACAAATAATCACCTTTTATTAAAAGTCTGGCAGGATACACTTTAGCTATTCTTGGTGGACTAGTATAATAATAAACATATTATCCCTTTGTGTTGCCTGGTCATTGAAATATTATGGGTTTAAATGAGAACATAACTAGTATGTCTTTGCACTGGAAACCATAGGGCGATAAACAAAGGCAGACCAAAAAACAAGCGGAACAGGGTGCTATGTAGTGAAGTTAAAACAGATGAGTAGGACATTGGGTGAGCTTCAAGAAACAGCACAGACAGAACGACTTGGCGGGAGTTATGTGAGGACCCATGCTCCATTGGGGGAACATAAGGCAGAAGAAGAAGATGAAAACCATATTCTCAGCATGTCTTACAAATATGTACATGGTTTTCATATAAAACATATCTAATGGTATGTACATGGTTTTCATATAAAACATATCTAATGGTATGTACATGGTTTTCATATAAAACATTTCTAATAGTATGTACATGGTTTTCATATAAAACATATCTAATGGTATGTACATGGTTTTCATATAAAACATTTCTAATGGTATGTACATGGTTTTCATATAAAACATATCTAATGGTATGTACATGGTTTTCAATATAAAACATTTCTAATGGTATGTACATGGTTTTCATATAAAACATATATAATGGTATGTACATGGTTTTCATATAAAACATATCTAATGGTATGTACATGGTTTTCATATAAAACATTTCTAATGGTATGTACATGGTTTTCATATAAAACATTTCTAATGGTATGTACATGGTTTTCATATAAAACATTTCTAATGGTATGTACATGGTTTCATACAAAACGTTTCTAATGGTATGTACATGGTTTTCATATAAAACATTTCTAATGGTATGTACATGGTTTTCATATAAAACATTTCTAATGGTATGTACATGGTTTTCATATAAAACATTTCTAATGGTATGTACATGGTTTTCATATAAAACATTTCTAATGGTATGAACATGGTCTTACATATAAAAACCACCTTAATGGTATGTACATGGGCTTACATACACAACACCCTTATTGGTAAGTACATGGGCTTAACATATTATACATTACCCTTAACGGTATGTACATGGGTTTACATATACAACTCCCTTACTGGTAGGTGCATGGGCTTAACATATACATCACCCTTAATGGTATGTTTATGGGTTTAACATATACATTACCCTTAATGGTATGTTTATGGGTTTAACATATACATTACCCTTAATGGTATGTATACAGGCTTACATTTAAAACATGCTTTGTGAAAACAAGTGAGTGTCACATACTTTTTTCTTTGATGAAATGGGTGAGAATTTGGCCAAGGTCAGCATTAGAAGCAAGGTCATGGATGGCACCTGGACATGGTGGTATCAACACGGCAGAATATCGATTCACTGAAATATTTCACAAAACACTTTGTATTAACACAATATTAACATCTTACATAGTGTGTTTCATAAGGCAGGAATCTAAACAAATAGAGATGATTTCAGATTTAAATCATTACAAAAGACATACTAGAGACTACACTGCAAATTTAGATAATTTATTTCAAGTGAACGAAAGAAGAAGAAGAAAAAGATTTAAATCACATGTAGTCATGATAAACAGACAGTGACACAAAGGTTAAAAAAAAAAAAAGTAGAAACCTTAAAATTATATTCCTCATCACCACTTTCAAAATTTAGAAACAGTATTTTCTATGCCATTGCCATAAAAAAAATTTTCTATAGAAAGTCTAAATTACATTCTTTGTCACTTTTTTCTAAAGAAACGGTCCAAATTACATTCTTTATTACAAATACTTTTTACACAAATAGTGAAAAGTACATTTATGTCAAAGGGAGTCACCGTGGCGGAAGGTCGTGTGCTCCCTCCATGGCAGAGCCAGACTTTTTTCAGAAATGACCTTGGCTCCCAGGTCGACCCAGCCTTAAGTGGGTGCAGTCCCTGGAAGTAAAGACGGCTGCGGCGTGATGCTGAATACATCACCCACCTTGCGCCGACTGGTATATAAAATATATGTCTAACCCTATATGCCTAAAAGCGTGGAAAAGGGTCCTTTACTTACTTTACTTACATTTTGTCAATAGGTTTTGTACAGAAACATTTTGTCAATAGGTTTTGTACAGAAACATTTTGTCAATAGGTTTTGTACAGAAACATTTTGTCAATAGGTTTTGTACAGAAACATTTTGTCAATAGGTTTTGTACAGAAACATTTTGTCAATAGGTTTTGTACAGAAACAGTCTTAAAATGAATTCTGTGTAACCAATGTTGTTTCCATTGAAAGTGTAAATTACATTCTTCAGTTTGACTGCAGTAAGCTTCTACCTCTGACATACTTCAATAAAAACAATATGAAAAGAAAACACACACACACACACATAGAAAAACATGGACACACAAACACAACATATCACAGATACACACACATAGAAAAACATGGACACACAAACACAACATATTATAGACACACACACATAGAAAAACATGGACACACAAACACATCACAGACACACACACATAGAAAAACATGGACACACAAACACATCACAGACACACACACATAGAAAAACATGGACACACAAACACAACATATCACAAACACACACTCACAGAAAAACATGGACACACAAACACAACATATCACAAACACATATACACAGAAAGACATGGTCACACAAACACACCATATCACAGACACACACACACATAGAAAAACATGGACACACAAACACAACATATCAGACACACACACATAGAAAAACATGGACACACAAACACAACACACAGACACACACACATATAAAAACATGGACACACAAACACAACATATCACAAACACACACACATAGAAAAACATGGACACACAAACACAATATATCACAAACACACACACATAGAAAAATATGGACACACAAACACAACATATCACAAACACACACACACATAGAAAAACATGGAGACACAAACACAACATATCAGACACACACACACATAGAAAAACATGAAGACACAAACACAACATATCAGACACACACACATAGAAAAACATGGACACAAACACCACATATCACAAATACACACACAAAGAAAAACATGGGCACACAAACACAACATATCACAGACACACACAGAAAAACATGGACACACAAACACAACATATCACAGACACACACACACACATAGAAAAACATGGACATACAAACACAACATATCACAGACACACACATAGAAAAACATGGACACACAAACACAACATATCAGACACACACACATAGAAAAACATGGACACACAAACAAAACATATCACCATCAACTGTGTCCAAAGCAATTGGGGTCGAGCTGGCCTTGGAGCGGAACTCATTGAACCAACGTCTGTTGGAGTCATCCTGATTCACATACTCTGTCTGTCTGCCCTGAATGTCCGAAAATCAGACAAAGGAAAGCAGCCTCGTTTCAGTTTGTTTGTTTCATCTTCTGTGTGTATACCGACTGTAAACTCCAGAGGAAGTTCTGGTTGTTCGTCCACTTCTGGACTTTGACCATGCTCCAGAATTTTATTTTTGTTTTTTTGTTTGTTTTGTAACAGATCTGAAACAGACTCTTTGTTCCTCAACGCTCAGGCAGATGAACTCTTTCAAAGGAAACACCCCTAATTAGTCACCTTTTTTGACATGCAGTGGGTCAGTAGGGGGCAGCGGGTCAGTATGTCAGTAGGGGGCAGTGGGTCAGTAGGGGTCAGTTGGGGGCAGTGGGTCAGTAGGGGTCAGTGGGTCAGAAGGGGGCAGTGGGTCAGTAGGGGACAGTGGGTCAGTAGGGGACAGTGGGTCAGTAGGGGGTAGTAGGTCTATTCTTTTTCCAATCAAAATGGGTCCCCAGAACCCGCATGGGGAATTTCAGTTTTGCATCTGACTGTCTACTTACAGTCCCTACTATGTGGTGTTTGTCATTTTGTTTGTCCACAACCTACTGCCTCATAACTCTGCTAATACTTGTAAAAAAAGATGTTCTACAATGCAGTGATACCAAACTATTCAACATCTTCTCTCTTTGACTCTCTCTGCTTCTTATGCTTTCCAACTTTCCTCTTGTCATTACAGACACTAGGTGTCTCCTTCTCATGATGTGAGCAAAGACTTCTGGACCTCTTCTGATGCTGGTAATTAGATTTCTTTCCGAGTAAATTTATGTCCTGGCGCTGTCATTACATAAAAAAATAATCTTTGGTGTTCTCAAACTGTACAATTACTTTTGGCATCTCCATATAATTGCTCATCAATATCTTCTTCTTTGTGTTCACAAGCTGTAAACTCTGGTGGAATGTTCTCACTGTTTGTCCACTTATGGATTGTTATCTTGCTCCAGAACTTGAGCTTTGCTTGCATATCAGTTTTACAGGCCCGGCTCTCTAGCGTAGTTGGCTAAACCGGATTGCGTGGAGACCGGGTGATGAACTCCTTGTGGTCCGGGTTCACTCCCGGGGGTAGGTAGAAAAGCCACATTTCTCCCAGATTTACGGTATTTACAATGGAATCAAGGCCAAAAGGTTGCAATATCCATAATACCGAGCCTAAGGGTTAACAAACTCATGGCTTCTGGATACTAAAACAAACAATCAGTTTTACAGAACAGGCAGATGCACTTCCACTTTGAAGGAACACTCTTAATTAGACAACTTTTATGACATGCCTGAGGGGAGGGCCAGTGGGTAAATTTTCTCTCTCCCCATAATGGTGCCCTGGAACCTACACGGGGATCTCAGCAGAATGACTTTCTTGATTCACTTCCATACATCAGCACTGGCTCCCTCACTTTCTCTCCTTATTTGACAAAGATACATTGCATAAAGAATATTCTTCAACCTGTGAAGTGGCACCTTCGCTTGGATTATTCTACATTTAACTTCTTTCAGACATCTTCCAATACCGGTTACTGATTTAAGAATGGACAACATAAAACACAGGGAATAGCCATAGGTGCTCAGTCTCCATCAGCAAATGTCTTAAGGTGTATATGCTAACTGTTCCGGTAGCACACTTATTATAAACTCGTTGTTTCTCTTCCTCTCATACGTCCCTACATGCCTGCTCTACACCTAATTCCTTGTTCACATATTCTCACACATATTATTTCATTTAACCATGTTTTCTATCAGCATTCATTCATAAATGATCTTCAGAATGTCTTCTTTGTCTATCTCAGGTGTTCCCGTAGCTATCACTTTTGTAGCCAGAAAGTACGCTCTTTCAATTCCTGGCACTCCTGCATATCCTGGACAGTATAGCGGATGTGAGTCGCTGCAATGTTAATGTGCCGATGTGTGGTATCCATGCCACATTTTTCCTTTCTGAACCTTCCGCAGTACCATCTTCCATCGGCGTTTGTCAAAACAGCAAAGTACCTGAACACTGATCCAGCATACAGACATAACAAACTAAACAGTGAATATACATAGCTCTATGATTGATTAGTTAGTGGGCAACTTCTTGACTTACTGAAGTTCTGTTTCTACATTTGGCAGTTCAAAAAAAAAAATACCCTTCTTATGGCTTTCATTAAGTGTTTTGAGAGACACAGTGGATTAGATTGAGGCCTTACTACATTTTCTGTGTATTAGTGTGTGTGTGTGTGTGTCTTTGTGTGTTACTGTATGTCTTCCTGTCTCTTCATGTGTGTTATTGTGTGTCTTCCTGTCTCTTCATGTGTGTTACTGTGTGTCTTCCTGTCTCTTCATGTGTGTTACTGTGTGTATGTCTTCATGTGTGTTACTGTGTGTCTTCCTGTGTCTTTATGTGTGTGTGTCTGTGCATGTGTCATGTGTGTCTGTTTGTGCGTGTGTGTCTCCCTGTGTGTGTGTATGTGTGTCTGAATCCATATGTGCAAGTGTCTGTGTATGCATGTATGTATGTATGTATGCGTGTATGTATGTAAGTATGTATGCGTGCGTGCGTGCATGCATGCATGCATGCATGCATGCATGCATGCATGCATGTATGTATGTATGTATGTATGTATGTATGTATGTATGTATGTATGTATGTATGTATGTATGTATGTATGTATGTATGTATGTATGTATGTATGTATGTATGTATGTATGTATGTATGTATGTATGTATGTATGTATGTATGTATGTATGTATGTATTTATGTGTGTATGTATGTATGTATTTATGTATGTATGTATTTATGTATGTGTGTGTGTGTATGTATGTATGTATGTATGTATGTATGTATGTATGTATGTATGTATGTATGTATGTATGTATGTATGTACGTATGTACGTATGTACGTATGTATGTGTGTGTATGTATTTGTGTGTATGTGGGTGTTTAAGTAAGTGAGTGGTTGGGCGTTTGTAGGTATATCAGTGCGTGTGCAAGTGTGTTTGTTCATGCTTGCCCAATTTGTGACCCTTTGAAAATGAAGTTTATTTGTTCACTCGTTTAGATTCTGAAAGACAGATGTGGCTCCACAGTAACCATCGTCTAATGCTGAGATAGCAGAATTTGGGAACAATGAAGTGGCCTCTAATATAATACAGGCTGAGAGTGCTTAAGACAGTATGATGATGATGACGATAATGGTGTATGTGTCCTGAAAAAGTAATGCTGGACAAGAACAATGAAGTGGCCTCCAGTGAAAAAGGAAGTAAAGAAAAATTAATTAACATGTAAGTATTCAAGGTAAATGTCTATTCAAGGTAAAAGTCTATGTCACACTCTCTGTTGAATGTTGAATTAAGAATCAATATCACAGCACTCGGGACACTCCTATAAATGCTCAGTCCCCATCTTCAGTAGCAAGCAAAGAGCTCTAATTCCGATGGTGACAGTAACCTTCTGATTTCATATCTGTCTCATCCTTCTCCTGAGAGTTGAACGCCGACCAGATCCTCTGGTAACTCCTTGCAGCGCCATTCTCCTCAGACCGTAATGATTTATCTGCGCCTCCGCAGTGTTCACCCGTTTCCAAAGGGCCCTCACAAAATCTAAATTTTCATACATCAATACACCACCAAGTCACACTTTGTATAGAGCTTGTCCCAAAGAAACTACAAAAAAAAAAAAAAAAAAAAAAGATAACACTGTTGTGGAGGTAGAGTACTTACTCCGGGAGATGCTAGCTGTATAGCAAAACTCTGATTGATGAGGGTGCAGGCCTGCATGAAAGATGTGGCAGACACACCTGCAAGAAACAACAGAGAAATAGACAGCCAGCCAGCAATCTCATTCTCAGTCTAATCAACAATTCTTCAGGATAAATCCAACTAAACATTTTAGTAAACTTCACTCTTTCCTTGTCTTCTCTTCTGCATTAAGTCTTAAAAAGGCAGCTGGCATGTTGTGTTGTGGTTTACAGCTAGGTTACAAGATCTGTGCCTCTCAGCCCAACACATCTGATTTTAGAGAAACCTTAGTTAGTAATTTTTTGTGTGTGACATGCTTGTTAAAGAACAGACCTATCCCCCCCCCCCCTCTTTTCTAATTACATTTCCCACGGGGCCCTTTGACCCACACGAGGAACATAACTGTTTCCAATCTAATCAACACTTTCAATATAGTTTTTCTCTCTCTCTTTCTCTTGTGTGTGTGTGTGTCTGTGTGTCAGTGTGCATTTGACTGACAGTAATAATCTCTGATGCACAAGTCAAAATAGTACAACAATGACATCAACTGTGTGTAGTAAGAGTTATTATTGAATGTAATGACCTCATAGAAAAATGGAACAGAAGCTAAGAAATACAGTTTTAAAAAAAAGTTAAAGATCCTTTTCATGCCTTCAGGGATATTGGGCACACAGGGCTGTACCTATATAAGCTGAGAAATAATTACATGTTATTCAGTAACCAAAAAATTCATCAAGTAAGTGCTGTCTGGTGCGGAAGCAGTTAAACAGTAATAACAGTATTTTTAATGCACAAAAGGTCTAATTATTGTGATGTGAATTCTTGCATACTAGATACGGGGTGTTATTGAAAGGAAGTCATATATACTAGGCAACAGCTCTGATCACAACTGTTATCAGTTCATACTGGGTGGAAATACAAATCTAAAATTACAATATGCAGAGGATGCTGTCCTCCCTTAAACAGTGCCTAGAAGCCGATCATCATGTCTGTGAAAAGGCATAATGGAGATCATCATATGTTTCTGCCGAAGTTTGTGTGTGTTCCACAGAGAAAAACTACATATCAAACAAAAATTTACAATTAATAATGAAGCAAATGAAAATGGTAGAAACATAAATACTGTGGCTCAAACATAAAAAAAATTTACTCAAAATAAGTCACAGGGAGCCATACCAGAGCAAGCTTGAGGGCTTAACATTAGTAAGAAGCTTTTCACAGGGCCAGCAGCCAAATAAAACAGTTTTCAGAACTAGTAAACAATTGCGAGAACATGCCCATCTCTGGGAGTAACATAACAATACAAGTGGTGATTCATTTGTCACTAAAAAAGAAGGGCTTTTGAATTTAGATGTGAGAGATACATTTCCGGAAAGGTTACCTAATCAATAAATGCCCGCAGAAGTCGGATGTGTTGGCTGAAAGGTGCAAATATCGCCGCCATTTTGTAAATTAGCCCAATGGAATTACATTTCTGGGTGAACGCAGAAGACGAAGAAGAAGAAGTAAGAAGGAAACTGTCTTAAACAGTGCTTAGAACAGATAATAGACAACGCCTTGTGACACTCTGAATGGGAAAAGGAGACGTGGACAACCTAAGAAAACCTGGAGAAGGACAACAGAACGGGAAATGAAGGAATGTAATCTGACATTGGATACCATGGGCAGAAAAGCAGCATTGGAGATCACTTGGGAATGCCTTATGTGTCAACAGCGATATGAAGAGGATACAACAGAACAGATCATAATGTCTGTTAAAAGGAACAATGAAGACAATAATATTTTTGGTTGAAATAAGTATGTCCCCGCAGATGCAGGATTAACAGGAATCAATCAAAAAGAAACTAGTGACAAAATTGAGATAAATGGCTCTTATAGTTTTTTCCCTGTGTGGCTTCTGATGCTCCATTTTGGACAACGAAGAATAGACTCACTGCCATCCGTAATAAGCATGTTGTAGGGGATACCTTCAAAGTTGGAATGTATCTGCCTGAGAGGCAAGGAACCAACAGTCTGCAAATGCATAAGCCAGATCTGTCAAATGGATGTGCATGCAAAACTCAAGTTCTAGATCAAGACTGAAGTCCAGAAGTGGACAAACAACCAGAACTTTCTGTCAGAGTTTACAGCCGCTGAACAATAAGAGGAAGAAACAAATTATGTCTCAGAAATATATACTTTCTTCTTCTGCCTGCTATGCCCCAATGGAGCATAGGCCCTCAAACGAACCACGCCAAGTTGTCCTATTCTTTGCTGTTGCATGCATCCTACTCCATGGCATCCCTATCTTGTAAACTCCACTCTCTAGCTTCTTTTTCTGTGTTTTTTGGTCTGCCTTTTTTTCTATGCCCCTGTTGGTTCCAGTGAAAGGTATTTTGGTTCCAGCAAATGTTCTTTTAGTTAACTTATTATTGAGTTTTTCTCAACATGTGTTCTATCCAAAGGCATCATCTTCTGTTCCCCTCTTGATTCACTGGAATTTGTTTAGTTCGCTCCCGAAGCTCAACATTAGTGATTCTATCAGACCATTTAACTCCCTCTACTCTTAACTGGTTAATGAATGTTTGTAATTTATTAGTAACTCAAGTAACTGATTAACTAAGTAAAGTATTGATTGACTATAAAATATAGTTCTAGCTCGAAAAAATGTCGCCCTGAAAGAGTTAATATCTCAGATTACAACTGATGTAGAATCTTGAATGAGATACCGTTGTATTTTCTATTCCAAGTGGAGCCCAATTATGCGTGTTACAGTGTTTAAAATAAATTTCGAAAATATGACTAAAATGCATACAAGAAGCAAACCACGCCCACTTCATAACAACATATTTTATTATTCCAAAGTTTTATGCTTTTCTGACATGACCTTTGACAATATAATTTAACTAACTGAAAATTCAATATTAAAAAAAAACATTTTAAACAATCTGGCTAAACACGACACAATTAAAATAGAACTTGCCTTCAGCAGCAGAACTGAGAACTATCAAACAGCTTCCCCTAGAAGTCGCCATGTTTTTAAGTTGACAGTGCTGAGTGCTGTCCAGTGTTGCCACTTTTCTTTGACAAAAAATATCCAAAACGGTGTCAAAAAATATCTAAAAAGATCTAAATCTGCGTGGAAAAGATCTAGACAAAACATCCAAATTGAAAAAGTCAAAAATTACATAGCTTTTGTTATGACTTACCCTACATAATCATGTCCTCACCTTCACTGATGTCTGCCTCACAAGATCCACAGGATAAACTTAGCTTGGATAATGAAGTTGAAGCTTCAGATCCAAAATGACCCTGGTATGCTTTAGCTGTTCAAATTTCTTTATAGGTGGAACAGTAGGCTTATTTCTCTAGTCACATCAGGCCGAATTTTAATGGCACGATAGCATTTCAGAGGTCAAATTTCATCCTGTTTTTCAGGTTATAGTTGATATAATTCCTAGCACTGAAAACTCTTTCTACGTCAGCATTTGAGTGGGCTTGTATCATGGCAGACATGGCACTTGAAAGAGCTTACAGAATTGACTTGTTGAGGCATCTTTAAATTGTCTCACTTCACTCCAAAACGCTTTAGTTTCTGTTTTGTTTGTCCATTCAGCTAACTTTATTTTGGTTAACTGATATTCTGCTTCCGCGACACTATTATCAGTAGCCCCTACAAATTTCATAACTTTACAATATTTAGGTATGTCCTTTATTGGCTGAAGTATGTTGCTCACAGAAAAAAAGTGAAATATTTTTCAAAACATATAGATTTTCAGGAAGTCTCTGCTTCAATTGTTTCAATAATGAGATACAAAAATTCTTGACAGTGTTCTCTTAAGTTGTTCTCTTCATTCTCTGTTAACAGTCCTTTTGTTTTTAAATCATCAATTTTTGATTCGATTTAATATCCAAGGTGTGGCTTAGGAGCCAAATAGCTCTCTATAGTGCAAGTGAGCAAATCAGCTTTAGAAGTTGGCAACACCAGTCTTTTACCGAGTGAAATAGCAAGGTGAGATCATCAAGGAATTTAACTATCAACAAGTTTAGATTCGGACAGTTTATTAACTTTTTGCACTTCCATTAGAATAGGTTATAAAAAGAGAATGAATGACAAATTTTTTTTATCACTGTACATTCCATATAGTATTTCAGCTGTGTAGCACTTTTTACTTTGTCTTGTTATTTCAAAGTGTGTCTTCAACTTCAGCCATTGCTTCATAATTCTTTCAACAGCTGGTTAAATTGATAACCATCTAGTTTTGCAATCTGACAGAATTTTCGTTGGTGTGGAACCATCATTCAAGGCTTTATATAATGTATTGAATTGCTGTTGTCTGACAAATGATTTGAAAAACCAGTAGAGTGTTTCAGCAATAAGGTTTCCAAATTCCTTGGTAAATATTTAGATGAAGCATGTGATAATGCTAGCTGCAATGAATGACGCATACATTTTATAAGTATTGATGGGTTAGCTTCCTTCAACTTGGCATAAACGCCATTATTTATACCAACCATCACTGAGGCATTATCAGTACCAATTACAGCCAAATTCTTCAAGCCTAACTGTTTGCTGATTAAAAGGTCCTTCAGTTCCTAAACTATACTTTCTACACCACATTTTTCAAATTGAACTAGTCCAAGATTTTTTACAAATCGATCAAATGGTCACAGTTTGAAATTGCGCAGTGACAAATTAAAAACATTGCGACTGATACTTCAACTTTTGATGATTCATTTATCAGTATAGTTCTGAAAACAGATGTCAGCGGTGTAATATCTTGAAATGAAACTGCAGTTTTATGCTTTTTTAGTCTCTGCATGCTCTTTGAGTTTTGTATTTTCGCTTTAATTTCACACTTACAGAACTTACAACGAGCTTTGGTCATATCCCCGGTTTTTAATTTTGTCATCATGCACCCACTCTTTCCAAATTTTTTGCTCATACTTTACTTTTGGCATGTTGAAAGGTTTTTCAAAGTGACAGCCACATAAGAAGGTGAGCAATTATTTTTTTTAAACACATGAAAAAAGAAACGCAAAGTCAGCACAGTGAGGATACGGTTGAAACAAAGTTAGTATGATTTACGCGCGTTTTTATAAATCAGTACCTGGGCTGCCAGATATTTGTGCGTTGACCCCAGTGAGAGTTCAAAGTTCAAGTAATGGCAGTTGTCATAATGTATGTGCCAGACCAAAACAAAAATATTGTAGTAAATATTTTACACAGTAATTATTAAATTGACAATGAAAGACAAAAAAATCTATAAAATATCTAACTCCATATGAAAAGAATCTAGAAAAATATTTAGGATCTAAACGTCAAAAACAGTATCTAAATGCAATGAAAAAGATCTAAATTTGGATATAAAAGATCCAAAGTGGCAACACTGGTGCTGTCCCTTGTGCGCAGGTCATGGCTGCTTCTTTCTTCTTTTGTCAAAATCTGCTTGTGCCGCTAACGGTCGCAGTCTATCAGATGATCGGCAACCGAGCCAGGGCGCGCTCAGTCGCTTCATATGCCGTGATGTCATGAAGTCTCAAGTTGTCCGTGACTCTTTCAATCCATCTTCTTCTTGGTCTTCCCCTGCCTCTTCGTGTTTCGATTTTCATGTTGTATGCTCTTGATGCTGGCATCGTTGGTTCCTTTCTCACTAGGTGACCAAACCATTTCATTCTTTGCTTCTCAATAAATTTAACGATGGGTATGGTTCCAATAGTTCCTGTAATCACATCGTAATCAAGGCTGCAAATGATAAATATATCTAAAGTCATTTGCACAGCCAAATATACACTGTACATGGTTCAAGGGTGTGACTTGAACCAGTCGTCTCATATTGATTTCATTTAACTAAACGTGCACCATGAAGTCAAAGTAAAAACATTATATTTAGATACAGATTATTACCCATTTGTATTTAACATAGGATATCATCATCATGTGCCTTGCTGACTGATCATACCTCTCCACAATCTGCGATCTCCTGCAGCATGTATCAGTTCGTGTGCTGACACACCTCCATGCCATGCAACAAGACTGTCAAGAATTTTCTCTCGTTTTCTTCCTCTATCCCTCCTTCCACAGATCTTTCACATGTTCCATTTTCCCTCTTCTCTTAACATGGCCGAAAAAAAAAAAAAAAGATAACTGTCTCCTTCTGATGTCTGTGATAAGTTGTTTTTGGGCTTTTGCCTCTTTCAAAACCTCTTGGTTGCTCCTTTCGGCTGTCCAAGGTGTTTTAAGCATTCTTCTGTAAAACCACATCTCTGAGGCCTCAAGAAATTGTTTGGCCTGCCTACCGATTGTCCAGGATTCACAGCCATATGTTAAAACTGGATGTATATAGCAAGCAAGAATTCTTTTTTTTTTTTTTTTCTAACTCTCAATGACAAAGATGTATTGCATAAGATGTTCTACATTTTATAAACATGTTAGATACATTTTTCAAAGATTCGTATTAATTAATCGTACTACAAACAAACAGGTACGAATATTCAAAATCAGGGAATCATTTTTACGGAGCATGGCAGACTGGGTAGAGATATAGAAACCAGAGCATAGAAAACAAATGCTGACACCTACCAGTTAGACCCACCACTTAGACACCCAAATGTCTCCCTTCCAGCAAAACAGCAAATGAATAATGGCATTTTCATCCCAACTTTATGCTATCAGTGCCAAACACGGACAATGAATAGAGCATTAGACCAGAAAATAACTACATGTGAAATGTGCTCTCCGTAAGATCATTAAACAACACAAGGAGAGACAGAGTAACGAATACCAGAATTAGAGATAACATTGGAATAAGACCATGTCTGGATCTTATTGACAGACAAAGAATGAAATGGCTCGGCCGCCTAGGGAGAATGCACCCAGAACACACTCCATATGTGACCTTTTATAGCAGAACAACTGGGAGGAAGGCGAGAGGAAAACCAAGAAAGAGATGGGTACATTGGGTAGCTGAAACCTGCAAAAATATGAACAAATCAATTATGCTAACCACCCGAAAAGCGCAAGACAAATACAGAAGACTACGACACTGGGTTAAAACCTGGTATCCGTGAGACGATAAAAGAAAGAAGAAGAAACATACAATTTTCAATAAAAGACATAATTATTACAGAGGTAATCATTTGTTTATCCTGTTGGGCCATTATATGTCACGTAGGAATAGCAATCTATTTCCCTATTCCGCCGTATCATGTGCAATCACTACAATATCATTAATAGAAAACAGTCCAGCAGCTTTGGCCTCTCTCATCAACGTTCGTCTTATGGTTTCTCTATGGCGTCCTCGCCTTCTTAATCTCATTATTTCCCATGCTATACCTATTTGGTATTTTATCTGCTCGTTTCCTTTTCTTGAATGTTGAATCAAGAATCGACATTACAGAACTCGGGACACTCCCATAAGCGCTCCGCCCTCATCTTGAACAGCAAACGAAGAGGCACGAATAACTGTCTGATTGTATTTTCGTCTCGCCCTTTCCTTGAATGTTGAATCAAGAATCGACAGTACAGCACTTGGGACACTCCCATAAGCTCTCCGCCCTCATCTTGAGCAGCAAACGAAGAGGCACCAATAACTGTCTGGTTGTATTTTCGTCTCGCCCTTTCCTTGAATGTTGAATCAAGAATCGACAGTACAGCACTCGAGACACTCCCATAAGCTCTCCGCCCTCATCTTCAGCAGCAAACGAAGAGGCACCAATAACTGTCTGGTTTTATTTTCGTCTCGCCCTTTCCTTGAATGTTGAGGAACTGGTCAAATCCCCTGGAAACTCCTCGCAGCACCATTCTCCTCCGACGGTGATGATCGATTTGCGCCTCCGCACTGTTCACTGGCTTCCAGAGGGCCCTTACAACGTCTAGCTTATCATACATCAATTCACCACCAAGTGGTGCAGAACCGCCCAGTCTATCTGCCTGCTCATTTCCCAACACACAGTTGTGACCTGGAGAGTATATCCAAAGGATACTAACTAACCGGGACCTCTGAAGCCACACTGTACAGAGCATGCCTGTCTT